CACGCTATGCACCACCCTGTCTGCTAGAGCTGACTTATTCTTGATAGGGAGCGCACGTGACGTGTTATTGCAGCCCGGCCAAAACTCTGACGATTGTTGAACGCAGCAATAAAAATTTATTCAATATTTTGAAAACTTTCAAAATCGAGTGTTTGAAATTTTATTGTATTAGATTAATGATATAGTGCAGTTTTGTTATTTTAAGTGCATTACAATTTATTTCATCTTGCAAAAATTAATTGACACAAGCACTGCATTTGTTTGTCATGTTCCTTGCTGCCAAATTAGCAGTTGTGACCTTGAGCCTGTAGTAGGTTTATTTCAGCAAAATCAAGGACAACGCCCGCGTCAACTGAATATCCAGACAATCCGTACTGTTGCCGGGGTTTTACAAAACGTCAATAAGTGTTGTGCGCAAAGCCCAGTCACGGCAGTCTTTGACGTCATTTCCGAAATGATTTTCCTTTTTAAACTATGGGATTCGTCAGACAAGGATACAAAATAATTTATATGATAAAATAAAAGTTGAAAAAACAACAACTGCGAAATATAATTATTTTCTTACACGCACACATTGTTTCGTGATTAAAAATATTTTCCCAACTTCACGTATATCTTATACGCAGCGAATCACTTGTGTTTTATTTCTTTATCGGTCAAATCATATGCTATTATTTTTGTTCTTGAACTATTAAAGATAATAGGATTTTGAATAAACAAAAAGCTTGAACATTGGAAGGAAATCGAAACGCGTATTCGTCACAATTAAAACAGAAATAAAGAGCCCTCAAACTGAAGTATCCCAAAAAAACAAAAAACTCTCACCACCAGGGGGTGAGGCGCGCACACACACGACTGTTTATGTTACACATAACGATACATTACAGAGCTTGTGAATTATACGTTGCGTCTTGAGCAGAAGGTAAGGTAAACAAAATGTCTACAAGTATAAAAACAGTCGGTTTCAGATCCAGTTTAACTCATACTTATTGTTTTCACAAGTTTTGCTTATATTATCATATTATATATTAATTTAATAGTATTCACATTCCCAAATTAACATCTCATAAGTTTCAATTTTGTTAAGCGTTAGAAAATATTAATAATAAATATTTAATTTATCAATCAATCAATCCACGTTATCTTCTTTCAGTACATTTACACCCTACTGATTTGTTTCGTTCCTAAGTCAGTAAGTTTATATGGTAGTTCATTCTACTTTTAGTCACTATACACCATTATATAATCATTCATCGATCGGCCTGTCTCTTTTATCAAGTCATTCATTCTTCAGAGTATCTGTCCATCTTCCACCAGTTCTTACTATATACTAATCATGCATTGCAACTGTTGAGCTTAATCATCCACCTGTTTTTACGGACCAGTTTGCTCTTCATCATTTTGTTCACCTGATTGTAACCGGGCATCATTTATTGTTTATGTTGAAACAGCTTTGGATTATTTGATCCATTCACCATAAGTCAGTTTTTTAAAGTAAAAAAAAACACACAAACTTATCATCACATATGAAGGATTTACAAAGAAAAAAAAATTTAAGCCGTCCCTCGCCTTTTTACTTATTTTAGTGTTACTATCTCTACAGTTTTATTTTAAGCATCTGAAATGAACATAAATTCATGCGTAATATTGTGTAACAGAGCTTAGAATAATAAAACAAGGCTTTTTGTGTTGTTTCAGGTAGTAAGATTACGATTTTACCTCACACACACTGATATATATATGTTTTTACTAATCCCCCTTTCTCTGTTTGGCAAATACTAATTTTTTTGAAGAACTAACTAATTTGATTTTGATGCTTCATTGGTTATCCTTAATGAGCCAGATGACCTCCATTCATTTTATCTTTGTCATGAATTTGTAGCCTACATTCCAAGTTTGATTGAAACGATTTGCAAAACAATTCTGGTTGTCTTAAAATGTGTTTTGTATAACTGGACTTCCTTCTTCTTTACTATGTTTTTCATACCAACGTTGCTATTATGCATAGAAGTTTTTTATACTAAATATACTTGTATATTAAAGGACATATAAAAAAACTGAAACTTTTTTCAATAACAGTCCTAGGAATACAAATTTTATACCTAAAATATTCATATGAAATAATACACTGCTGCATTATAATTATTATATATGTATATATATATATATATTGTGGAACTTCACTTTACAAAAAAGTTAATTTTTTATAATCAAATAAATGCTCATAATATCACTTGGTATATCAACCTCAACATTTTGATAAAATATGAATCTTTAGTGCATTTTTGAAATATTTAGATAATGGTATTTTGTGTTATAAAAACAGCAAACATAGTGATGCAATTAAGTATCAATGTTACTCACAAAACACTTAAGTTATTTGTTTTCAGTTCTGAGGTGTGATTGCAACCTAATATTATTCCAATGTCAAGTAGGTCTAGAACATTATTACCTACAAGGTAATATTACTGGAGTATTATATTTTATTGATTTTTACCAGAGTGTCATTTTTATACATGTGATTGAGGTGGAACATTTTGAAGTTATTTCAGGCTCTAATTCAATGGTGCACAACTTTACTTTGGAGGAGGGCCAGATTTGGTGAAGGCTGAAACCTGCAAGGCAAAATTGAATGTGTTTTGGAAATTTTAAAGTTTTATTCATGACTTTGGTCTATTAGTGAAAATATGCTATAGAATGTTACTAACAAAATAAATAACTCACTTAAAAAAATGGTGTGTGGACATTGTATTTATTTTCACTAAATAATTGAAAAGAAGCTATAAATATAAGAAAATGAATGTTTACAGAATTAATTATGATTTTTAACGTTAGGGTCTATTTTAACACATTTTATGAAGAAACAAGACCAGACAAAAGTCTATAGTTCAGCAGGAAATAACAGAACGTTTATATCTTTTTACACAGACCATTTTTTTAAGTTTATAATATTAAAATGTTTAAGCTCCAGATTAAAGCAGTTAGCAGACCATATGTTGTGCACCACTGCTCTACTTGTTTAATCATACAAGTAAAAACACAAACTTAAGACACGTGTTTTATTTCCTTTCATGCACATGTACATAATACAGTAGGCCTGGCAACAGTTTATATAAACTTACAAACATAGACAAAAAAGAGATTTCCAAAAAAACAAATTAAGGACTTTCCTAACGAGGCACATCTGTTGAGGCATGCTGCTGTAGTAAACAGTGGGTTTCTTCTCTAAGAAAGTATGACAACAGGACAAGGAGAACTTCCTATTAAACACGAAAAGCTTAAAGCCTACAATTGATTCATTATATCACATTGGACAAACAATGAATTGAAAAATGGATAACATTACACTTGCTGAAAGTTACAGTACATTCAGTGGCTTCCAACAATAACAGTTCAAACATGGAGTACATTTGTATCAGCTAAGCTTACCTTAATCCTAAAAACAGAGCTTATGAAAGATTCCTGAAAATCATTTATTGTAGCTTTAAGTTGACAAAGTAAACATTACAGGTATATAACCTGCATCAAAGTCATTTTATTCACAATACACCTATTTAAGTTAACCTCACTAACCAAGTCTGTAATATTGTTCAGAATCAAGTTTTAAAAAATGTGCTGTTACTTAGTAACATGCATTTGCTATCAGCTTATCAAATGTTATTAACACTACTTTTTTTACCAAAGCGGTTTTAAATATTGAACACTGTTACTTAATCAGTAAAAAATCTTGCTTTTTTTTGTCATAAAGAGGACCATTGGAATATTTTCTATTTTAATTTATTCTGACATTGTAGTACTACATTCAGAAACATAACTTGATATTATGCTTCAAAATGAGCCTACTGTTACTGAAGTGTTCATAATAGCGTAATTTATGGTTATCTCTCCATGCAGTACAAACTTTGAGAGAAGGAGCATATAGGGTTTAAACGTCATCACTTTTTAAGCTCAACAATCAATCTGACACATCTTTAAAGGAATGATGGACAACCCATCCATATGTTGGAATGAAAACAATCTTATAGTATTCAAGTTTACAACACACACCAACAGCTGTTTATTCATTTTCGTTTCTTAAATACAACAGTTATAGCTGCTAACCGTAATTGATTAAATCCCACGAGCAAGAAAAAATCAGTGTTGTATATTCCCAAGACTTCCTCACTTAGTTCAAATTTATTATGGAAATTATTCTGAGATAGTTGTTCTAGCTACTTCAAATTTGAGCAAGAGCAACATTCAACTTCAGTTTTTACTTCTGCTGTGGTTAACCAATAATATATATATATATATATATATATATATATGTCAGTTTTTGTTGTGTGTTTGATCACATCAAGACTAGAGTACTGGGCCTCTGAAAAGTGAGCAAAGGTACACTTCCATTTACATATATGGAATAATTCTGTTGCTACTTAATGTTAATAAAAATAAAAACAAAATCTCACATGTTACAGTTACTTTTGTTGCAATACTAATAAGTGTAGGTAGCAGATCTTTCATATACAAACATTGAAATACATGTACTAGTTGGTTAAAGCTGAAGTGAAAGATACATGTACAACATCCAAATGACCAAATATTCGAATTACTAGTTTTACATTCAATCTATTAAAGAATTCTTAAGATTTTTATTTATTTAACCCCAACCAGAAACACAGATACAATACTAATTACACTGTATTTTTTTCCAATAACTAAACTAAAAAATAAAAAATATGAGCAATATTTAGTTATTTTAGTAATGTGTCAAAATATTTTTTTCCTCTGAAATGAAACATAACACAACATTATTCAACAGAGCTTGGTGACTTAATTTTGTTTGTTTTTTGTACAAAAATTCAAAATAATCTAAAAAATATGCATGAGAATGAATTAAAAAAATGCAGAACTGTCTACAAAACACTTAATACTTTTTTCTTACAATGAACGAAACTTGAAAATAACAATTACAGAAAATATGAAATGATGAACACCAGCTTAGAAATTTTATATTTTGCAATCACAACTGTTGAGTGGGAGTTAAACTTGAAAAACCAGCAAACTTGCATCCTACAAATTTGTGAAAAAAAAAAAAGAAGAATGAAAAAGAACTCCTTAATCCAATGTATTAAGCCTTAGAGGACGACGTGTACTACACTAGTAACAATAGCACCAGTCGTAGAAAGTTCAAAGTGGCCCACTTACATGGATTACGAAGTTCAATCACATACAACTGGTCAACAACAAAAACTACATTTTTTTTTACAACATTTCAAGTACTATACGGCCACTAAGCAAAACTGTTTTGGTTTCTTTTTTCTTGCGCCAGTGAGTGCAAAAAGTGGTTAATTCTTTTATTGTAAAATTATAAAAACTGTATTTTACAAAACATAGCATGTGGCCTCCAGTAAACAATTAGACTAAAAATGTTGCTTTCACTTCTTCTGTAAAGCTTTTACACTGCACTATCTTTAGGCAAGCTTGTTTTTGATCCTTTTAGTGATTGGTTTTTGTCATTCTCTTCTATCTTGCCTTCTTTCTCACTGTTAAATAGAAATAAGAGAATAATTTTCTAAGTATATAATAACATATGAGAATTATGCTAAATGAGGAATTTATTTGATCAGATTTCTGCATGTGAAAAATGGGTCATATGCACCCAAAAACTGACAAATGGAACACACAAGTATGTTTGATGTTAAAATAACAATTATGATTTAAGAAAGAGCATCTTTCACAGAATATTATTTTTTTTACTTATATTAAATGCAACTGACAGTTCTATTAAAATTTCACCAAGTTTATATCAAAACATAATCATCAACTGCGTAGTATTGTAGAGGAACGTTTCAGTTGTGGTTTTGTCTTCAGTCTATAAACTTTAAGAAAAATGTTTATCACTTCTTCCAACGTTTACTTACAATTCCAACTTCTCATGCATTTACAGCAATGACTGGCTAAGAATTCTCTACTAATCATAACAAATCTTTAGATATTAAAACAAAAGGGCTTACATGGTGTAAAATACCAATTAATGTTTTTCAACTTAATACGATATTTTGTTCATTTCCATCTTCAAAAATTACACCATTGCTTTGGATCTATTTCTTAAAAAAAAAAAAAGTTTACCTCAATCTAGAATGTAAATCCCCTCATATATAATTCATTCATTCATTCTAATAAGATGATAAACTGGTAAGTCTTGCTTACCTGGGAATGTTAGTATCCTAACAGGGCATAAAATAAATACTTTAAAACTGTAGGTCAAATGTACAATGTGAAGGCAGTCATCACTGGTACTGGTTTTTAAAGACCTATAACTTCCAACTCTATCACACTATTGTTCTAAAATAACACTAAGTAAAGCCACCAGTGCTTTTAATTTTACTTTAATATCTTGTATGAAATTTATATCAAATTTTTAGCATTACCACTACAATCAACTAAAAATCAAGCCTCAAATTATTCCATCTTGCTTTTAATTTTTTTCCATAGATTCTTTTGAAACAACTTGTGGAGTTGTTTTTTTTAGACATAACAGAACCACAACCAGCAGTAACAGTACTTGATTTCATTTTCAGTTTTGGGTTATTAATTTTCTTCTTTGCAACATAAGATTTTGTAGAGATGCAAGCTGTCAATTTTTCTTTTTTCGTGAATTACAAACACAGAGAAAAATTGCTATTCCTTCTTGAGCTGTGGAGGTCTAATGTAAATATACACCTGGAAAAAAGTTAAGCACCCCCGTGTTTTTTCAAGTGATTCAGATTCGACGTTCTTGTGACTGATTATAAATTACCAT